AGTTCCTGAACAGCAACCCAGTGTCCTGGTATGATTCCGTACGTGCATCCGGGCTCACCATCCCCACTGGCCAGTCTCTCACGCATGAAGTCAAAGTTCCGCAAGAAGATTAGAGGTGCCAACATAGAGTGAAACCAGTTGACCATTGCCTGGGTTCCCCAGTAACCCCTTAATAAAAAGGGTACCCTTTTTCCTACTATTCAGCTTTAATAAGGAGACCCCCAAATAAAAAGGGCAAAAGGGTACTGCTGGGGTACCTAGTTGCATAGCCACTGGCTGACCTGACATGAGCGGAAGCTCTTCTCCGTTTGTGAAGAAAGCCCCAAGCAATTCCTGCTCCGAAGCATGCCAGCATCAGTCCGCAAAAAAAGGTTTTGTCGAGGGACGGGCACCTATGCAAAATGTGACCTTCGTATGGCTCTGTCTTGTCTTCTGAGACCACAGTATCGATGAAAACCTCGTTGTAGTCTCTGGGGAACAGGGCAGTTGCGGCTGCTGCGGTCACGACGCAGCAAACAAAGTATGATCCGGGCTGCCAACGCTGTCCCTTCAGCATGCATAGGGACTGCTGGCCCCAAACCTCCCAGGGAGCTCAAAAGGGTTTAGGGCGTAGGGTGTAGGGTTCTGGGATGAAGGTAGGTGGGCTAAGGGATCCTCATTGCAGACCCCATTATATTCGGAAGTATCGCCTTGCTTTACCTCACCTTTTGAGCCCCAAGAGCCTCAGAAGCCTCCTCTGAACTCTCGGAAATGGAGCTCGCCATGTGGCTGGGGTATTTTCTTGGGAACTAGCAGTATGCTGTGGATGGGTATCCCGCATACTTGTACTTAGGAGCCTTTCACAAGAGGGCCTTACGGAGGCCACTACCTTAAGGGCGGGCTGCCTGGGGTTGCATGTTAGTTTGGGGGAGGGTTACTGCAAGACGGTTTTGTGGGTGGGTCTTACGAACATACGCCCCAAACACTGAGCCCTATGTACATATACATAAAGACAAAATGCAGGGGCTTTGTGTTGTACATATGGTTAGGTAAAAACTGCTCAGACATGAAGACAACCTGCACAAAAAATTAAGGGTTTAGGGTTCAGGGGGTTTAGCGCCCTATCAACTTCTGCAACTCCTTTTATCTACATAGATTAGGGTTGAGGGATTAGGGTTGTTATGGATGACTTGTGGTGGTGCAAGATGTGCTTCCTTCAGCAGAACTGCAGCAACTTAAACAATAATGTTAACCCTAAACCTTAAACCCCAAACCTTAAACCTTAAACCCTAAACCTTAAACCCTAAACACTAAACCTTAAACCCTCACTAAACCTTACACCCTAAACCCTAAACCCTAAACCTTAAGCTGCCAACCCTAAACGCTAAGCCCGTGGCCATGAATCCTGTAGGCCCATAAAATGTGTCAGCACTCAGTGCAGATGGATTTGGGGATTTTGGGTTCAGGGTTTGGGGTCTTGAAGGTTTAGGGTTTAGGGCTTCAGGGCTTGGGGTCTACGACGCCGGGATGATGGATGGTTTAGGGCTAAGGGTTCAGTGTTTAGGGTTCAGGGTTTATAGATTCTCGGCCAGCAATGCCTGATGCAAACAGTTGGATCGACGCGAAGACTCCTTTAACTCTTGTGAGTCTCCTCTGTAATAGGGTCTATCGGGTTTAAGGTTACATGTAGACCCGTGATTCGTAAACACCCTCCTTCCGAGGGCCTTGATATTAGGATCCCTGCTATCATTCCTATTAACGGGAGGGGGGGTTTATGAATCACGGGTCTACATTAGGGTTTAGGGCCTCGGACTTTGGACCATTGGAGGTTGGCCCTAAACCCTAAACCCTAAACTCTAAACCCTAAACCCTAAACCCTAAACTCTAAACTCTTTACTCCCTCAAATCCGGTCAAAGTGCGTTCCAGTTCCCAAGATGGAAAGGAAGCCCTTGTGAAACTGTTTCGTTGCGGTTAAGGAACTTAAGCTCAGTTAGCATAATGGGTGGAAATCGTAATTTATACGATTTCGCAAAAATAGTAACTTTTTCTGTGAGCCGCATTTTGGGTGGTGAGGTTGCCAGACAAACTTTAAACCTTAACCCCTTAGCGAACATGGAGGCCGAAACATCTCGATGGCAAGATCGCCCAGGTCGGGATTTCAGATCGGGAACTTTTTTGCGGTTCCCATTACACCGTTTTCTGCTTGAGATCCCGCTTCGTGAAGGTAGTGTATGATACTTGGCATAAAGAAAATTTGAGAGGGGGGAACCTAAGGGGGGCAGTATAAGCACGGTGCTAGAGAAGGTCGTGAGATTACATGGAGGTTAAACAGAGGATTGTAACAGCAATCAGGTTTGGCTACTTTACATTGTTGGGGTTCAGGGTTCAGGGATGAGGATTTATAGGCTTTAGGGACTAGAGTTTAGGCTTTAAGGTTTGGGGATTAGGGAGTAGAGTTTAAGCTTTAGGGTTTAGGGTTTAGGGTTTGGGGTTTGTCATTTAGGGTTGGTATCAGGGTTGAAGGTTGCAGTTTTAGGGTTTTGGGTTTTGGGTTTAGGGTGATGGCTATGGTGCTGCATGGGCTACCTTGGAAGAATGGAAGGACGTTATGAATACAGCAAGTGGCGATGATGTGGAGCCTATCAACAATGACCAATCTATCTGGGCGACCCCGAGTAAATCCACCCCCCTACCTTCGTTGGGATTGTAACTGTAACGACAATAAGGGAACATAATCCCTATCTAATCCCCATATATGATATTCCCCTATCCCCTACTAAGAACCAGCCAGAAAGGGATTTTGTATGGGTCCCTATGGCGGTGGCTCTATTGTGCAACAAGGACCCTGAACCCCGAAACCTTGAACCCGAAAGCAGAGCCTGGACGCCACACCCCCACTAGGCTCTACCTAGACCCTCCAATGTAATAATTTTTTGGTAGTCCTGATAAGAGTCCTAACCACCAAACCATACCAAACCCAAAAAGGAACTACATTGGAGGGTCTAGGTAAGCATGATACAATTCATTGGGGAGCAGACCTTGCCCATTCGCTGGGGCCTGCTACGCTTAGACCGCTTGGGCCCGCGCGCGTTGAAGTCAGGTCCGTTCAGCTCCTGTGTCAGCCAAGCTTGCCGGTTCAGGGTTTAGGGTTGAGGGCTTTTGATTTGCAGTTCTTGGCCTAGGGCTTCACAGAATCAGACCTACACCATCAAAATCTGACTGGAGTTTCGATCACAAACACGG